TTCCTGTGACTTTTCATGTTTTGCTTACATAAAATTACTGAATTTTTGAGTGTAAATTAAAATCCTTAGTATGAAAATTTAATTTATTTTTAGAAATAAAGAATTACAAACTTTTTTCAAGTTTTTTTTTTTTTTTAATTATTATTTTGAACCATGAGTGAGAACAAAATGTGCGAAGCTTATAATCGTCGGTCGGACTGAATTTCACTGATCTGGAATTTAGCCATTACATTTTAATGATGACTCAGTTCATGTATATACCGATGATATCCTTGACAATACTTTAAGATATATATGTTAGACCAGCATGGATCCATTTGTCAGGACAAATCTAAAATGCTGGGACTAAAGTGATGGGCACACTTTGGCAGGCCCCTTAAAATTTCTGCAGGAATTTTCTAGTTTAAATAGTTATGTACACATTGCTAAAGTAATGTATAACACCATGGCTATTCAAGGTGCAATACATAAATTCCTTTAAGGAACCTTAAAATAGGTTTTCCTATCCCCCATATAGAACAAAAATTACTTTTTACTGAATTCTTTATTGTTATGTGTAGAATTTGTATGTTTCTTTTATAGGAGAATGGATGGAAATTTGCATCTTGCTAAATTTGGTGTATTTACAACATTATCGTATGTTTATTAATAAGCACTGTCCAATTTAAATTAATTTAATATCAAAGTATTTAAAGCAATATCAAATTGAATCGCAAGGTTCTCAAGGAAAACAAACAAATACCCAACCCTAGCCATTATGTATAGTCATTCCAAACTTAGAAAAGATCAATCCTGAAATTTGACATACACAACATTTATAGATGTGTGGCTGTTAACTTCTGATTACAACTCTTACCACAATCCCTGTGGAAGGGCTGAGGTCCAGTTCAATGATGAAGCGATACCTGCGGGCCAGAAAGGTTGCCCGGGTGGATGGCATCAAAACACAGGGGGCTGTAGTTGGGATGGAATCTGGCTGCCACCCCTTCGGTTGGACAGCAGCCAAATCCAACTCATTTTCAGAGTTTTGCTGTTAAACAAAAATCCATCAAACACCAATGAGATATAGTTAGCAATATTATGAGAATAATGGGAGGCATTTGTTAAAACCAGTCTTGGTGCAAGTGCATCACAAGAGATTTGATCATGAATGGGACAAAAATTTCACAACAATGAGGAAATGGCACAGCAAAGATAGAACATCAATGAGCAGTCTCACCTAGGAAATGTAAAGTACCAACAAAAGTTCTATGACATTCAATACAGTCAACTTTCATAAGTCAACCTTGATGAACAAGAGTAACATTTACAGCTAGTCCTATAATTGCATTGCACAGAGCATCCAAACATGCCCATAATAACCAATCTCAGGCAGGAGTCATACCTACTTTAAAGTGTCACCAACATGATAAAACCAATTACATGGTTTAAAAAGATGAAATACTGCGCTTTCATACTGTGTACACAAAAACTTTTAATAATAGTTTTCACAAACCATTATAAATTCCCTGGCACTGGAGAGTGTTGTAGTTTTCCTCTGTACTAATTTGGTCAATGCCAGCACCATCTTATTGCATAATGAGGGTAAATCAAAATATAAAGGTTGATGTTTATGTCAACGGAGGAAGCAGAGGAAGTTGTGAGCAATTTCAGCAAAGATTTGAGCGATTTATCTGAAGTTTTGGAGGAAGAAGTTAGATGGAGAGATGAAGAAGAGGGAGCTGGTTCTAATGAAGGACTGCAACAATTTTTATTTGTTCAGGAAGCAACAATGAATCCAACATTTCCTGGGAGGAAGTGTCCAACCGTGAAGGATTGGAGCTGGAGATAAGTCGCCTCCAAATCACAGAATAGTGATAAACTGATCTATGCAT